CTCTCTCTCTCTCTCTCTCTCTCTCTCTCTCTCTCTCTCTCTCTCTCCCTCTCTGTTTCCCCAGCACTATGCCTGTCAGATTCCCCACCATGATGATACTGACTAGCCCTGTGGCACTGTAAGCAAGCCCACAGTCAGATGCTTTCTTCTGTAAGTTGCCTTGGTAGTGGTGTCTCTTCGCAGCAACAGAACAGTGACTAAGCTACTGAGTCCATAGCTGGTAAATGATAAGAAACAACACTTGCTGGATATTTTAGACACATTTTTATCTTCTCCTGTGGATTGCTTAAATTGTCTGTTGTCAGCCACACAAATACCAGACTGAGCTGTTTCTAAAGAAGTGCTAGGCCCCTAACTCTTCTTCATGGCTCCCCAAATGCTTTTCCTCTTTGTCTGGGCAATTCTAGCCATGTGTCAAAGCCTCTCTGCCTCCATCTTTGCAGCCCTCCCACCCTGACCACTGTGACTCCACACCCAGAGTTCCCTTCTGCTGCAGAAGGACCACTGTGTGACTTCTGGTCAGCGCTCTGCCTCTGGTGTAGCAGCTGATCTCAAAGGTTTTGGTCTCAAGACCTTTGATGCTCTTAGAAATTCCTGGAACTCTAAAGAGCCATCATTGTGTGTAGTATGTCCATCAGCATTTTCCATTAGAAATCAAAACACAGAAAGGCCGGGATATTGGCTCAGTAGTGCTCTTCTATCAGACACAAGGCTCCATGTGTCTCAGCACCATAAGTAGATATATCGGTAGACAGAATGTTCAAAGTATTAATTCACTGTAGACATAAGACTCCATGACTCATCAAATTAAGATAAATGGTATGTTTAATGAAAAAATAAGCATAGTTTTCAAAACCTCCAAAGTCTTAGTTAGAAGACTTTTGATTTGGTTCTTCCAGACAGGGTTTCTCTGTGTAGCCCTGGCTGTCCTAGAATTCGCTTTACAGACCAGACTGGCAAACTCAGAGATCTGCCTGCCTCTGCCTCCTGAGTACTGGGATTCAAGACGTGGGCCACTACTGCCTGGCCTAGAAGACTTATAAGTAAGTAAATGAGTAGATAAGAGAATATCTGCATTCTCTCAGCGTTTGTGGGCCCTACTACATACTTGTGAGAAAATTAAAGCAAAAACCAGTAAATATGCCTTGTTATTACTGAAACTGTGTGGCCCTTGTAGAGCCCTCCAGTGGTCTAAAGGCCCAGGGACTCCCAGTCACACCTTCAGAGCCTTGACTCTACCAGCAAACTCCTTGGTGGCCAGAGTAGTCCTTTGCCCCATAACCTAGAACCTGGTGCATGATTAATGAGTCCTTAAGAAGCACGAAGAAGTGGGTGAAAAGCAAGTGATTAAAAATAAACCCCAGCTGCCTCCTGATGGCTCACTGAGTCATCCATGGCTGAAAGGGGGTGATGGTGGGTCAGTCTTTAATGTCAGTTACCATCCATCTGGACGAGGAGCTCAGACTTGACTCTGCGACTCGCTTCATGCTCGTCAGACGTTCCTCTTCGACTGCAGATGGAATCTATTTCATCAATGAAGATCGTGGTGGGGGCGTAGAACCTAGCCTTGGTGGAAACATTTTAAAGTGATCATTCAGCGAGCTCATAAAGCACTATGTATTTTTAAAGAAACTGTTGTATTCTAAGACAGTGGCAAATGAAAGCAACAATTTTTGTCCATCAAATTGTTCCCACAATCTTATTGCTGACAAACATTTCAGGAAGAGGCAGTCCAAAGATAAAACTCACATAGCTGGTGATGCTGGGTCAAAGATACATAGATAGTTGTTGCTTTTTTCTACTTTTTATTTATTATTATTTGGAGACAGATTTCACTATGTAACCCTGACTGACCTGGAACTAGCAATATAGACCAGACTGTCCTCAAACTCAAGTGATCCACCTGTCTGCCTCCCAAGGCATACACTACCACACCTGACTATTCTTCCCAGTTTTATGATTAGAAATTTTCACAGGGGAGGGGGTGGTCTTTATTGGAAGCAATTTTAAATAAATCAGTATCTAATGTCAGATCTGTCTCTAGCTAGGTTTCTTCAAGTCTTCTATCCCATCAGTACACTAGACATCCAAACTGCCAGTCACCTTCCCTGGACAGGGTACCAAAGGGCCTGTTTTCATCTCATAGAGAAAGCTATGTTGCAGACACACCAAGGATCCCAGCCAGTACAATACCCACACTGCTCATTCAGATCACAAGGTGCAAAGACCTGGATATGAGGAATCATAGGCCCAGACGGACAAACAGCATTTGGAAATCAAAACATGGTACATTTACCATCTCAAACAACAGACGGACCAACTTCTCTGATTCGCCTCTGTATTTAGATGTCAGGGTAGAGGAGGAGACGTTGAAAAAGGTCGTCCCACATTCAGTGGCAACTGCTTTGGCTAGCATAGTCTTCCCAGTCCCTGGAGGTCCAACCATCAGCACACCCTGAAAATCCAAAGGAGAAGTAAGCAACATACTAGATTTAAATGTTTCCCAATAACTAGCATCAACTGTCAATGCGGCTGTACACAAGGATACCCCTAAAATATAAACTCAGTTGTCATGGTGAGATCAGTGCACTTAGCAAGAGGAACAAGAAAATGATGGAAATGATTTCTCAGGTGTTTCAGGTCAGCAGTGCCCAGAGATAAGCTCATAAAAAACAGGCTGAGCAGCTAACGGTGGCTCATGCCCATTATCCTTGCACATGGGCAGTGTGCACAATTGGAGACTAGCTTGGACGACAGAGAAGACACTGTCTGCTAAAACAAAAGGTAAGGAGCAAGGAGGAAGGAGAAGGAAGAAAGGGAGGAGAAAATGGTCGCCCTGGCAGCAAAGAGCCTTCTCATACATTCAGAAAGAGCCTTTCTTGAACCCAATGGGAGCCATTCCTGTAATTCTGTGGAGTACTTAGAGTGACCCTTCTGGGATGGGAAGATGGCTCAGTGGTAAAGAGAACGTGGTACTCTTGCAGAGGACCTGAGCTCAGTTCCCAGCATCCACAGAGGGCATCTCACAATCCCCTTTATCTCCAGCTCCAGGGGATCCAGTGCCTCTTCTGACCTCTAGAAGCATCTGCACTCACACGCACATACCTGTACACACACACACACACACACACACACACACACACACACACACACAATTTGCTTAACTTTTTATTTACAGAAAGAGACATCCAAAAGTTCTTAAAATTAACCTCCAGCTCAGCACCTGAAGCACGACTTTGAAGGTGGCAGTGTGGCAGCTCTAAGCCCATCTCTCTTTCCATGTGCCTGCAGCGCATCTCAACACAAATTCACACCCAGGAGTGGAGGGGAATGTGAGCTGTCCAATACACACTGATCCACAGCAGGGCTGCCCTTCGGTATGCAAGCATCCCCACTTCAAGTCTGTCAGACAACTCACCTTCCATGGCCTTCTAATCCCCTTGAAAAAGTCAGGCATCCACATAGGAAGGACAACAGCTTCCCGGAGCAATTTCTTAGCTTCCTCCAGATCTGCTATATCATCCCTTTGAGAGAAGAGAACAGTTGCATGATTACTCAAGGGACACCTCTGATTTATGGTCAAAGCTAAATTACTTCAAATTCATTTACTTACAAAATTGTTTTTATATTAAAACTATATTCTAATACTTACTATTAAAAATGACCAGTGAAAGCATACTGGGTTATTAATTTGAACATGCTATGCGGTTAGCAAACTTTGTCAGCATGTCAACAGTAAATTAACATGTAAAGTTTCCTTTGTTAGATTCTGACAGAGCTGTTATTGCAGACAAAGGCATTATCGGGAAATGGGGGCAGGGCGAGAAAAATCATAGTAACCCACCCTTATGATTTCTTTTCTTCTCTACTATAATTCAAGACTCTCACCAGTGAATGCTAGGGTTCCTAGACACAATGTCCCTCTCCAGGGCTTCCACCAGATCCTTGTCGTATCCAGCGCCATCAAATTTGGGGATCTCACCATCACTCGCACTATCCTGCACATTTTTCCTTCCCTGGAGGTATGAATAAAAAAGGTATGGTTAGCCACAAAACAACTTTAATTGATATCATTAAGTTGTCAACATAGAATTGTCTGTGTGTACACGTGAATACATGTGTATATGTGTATATGCACATGTGTACGTGTGTCCATGTGTTTAGGTGTCTATATAAGCATAGAGCAGGAGGCAGGGATGAAATTCAGAACCTATACATGCTGGGCAAGCACTTTAGGACTGAGCTATCTTCCCAGTCCAGAGTAATCTCTTTTAAAATATTTTCTTATGAAGGGTGAGGTGGTGCACACTTATAATCCCAGCACTCAGAAAGTAGAGGCAGGCAGATCTCTGTGAGTTCAAGGCCAGCCTGGTCTACAGAGCGAGTTGCAGCAGAGCCAGGGCTATTATACAGAGAAACTCTGTCTTATACATACGTACATACATGCATACATACATACATACAAACATACATACGTATCTCACTATTTAAAGCCATAGCTTCTGGTTGGTTAGATGCCATCCTACCCTAATAAATTCACCAGAAGCAGATCAACTGGTCAACCTATGTGGCCACCCTCACATCTCTGTTCTTGAGGGACAGCTGCAGGGAAGACTCCGCTAACCCTTACTGGATCGGGCGGTCTGGAGAAGCCTGCCTCTGACTTACTGGATACAAAGGATTTGCCCCTCTGCTAGAAAACAGATAACTGATTTGCAAGAAGAGAATTAATTAGCGAGCTTGCCTTATGATAGAATATCTCACACAGTATCTCACTGGATGTACCAGACCCACACCACAGACTGCTTTTCCTTTTTTATGGATAAGGAAAATGGGCCTCAGAAAAGCCAAGTAGCTAAATGTTTCTCAGCCTTTTGGCTAGTTAAGTGTAAAGGTTAAGTCAGACTCAACTTACCAGCAAATGTGGGGAAAGGAAGCGCAGCGCAAACCTTCCTGTCTCCCTACAACAATGCCTTTCCATGGCTCTCCCATCTCACAGTTGACTGAGCTGCTTAACACTTCAGTGCTGACCCCCAAGCAGCCAGGACAGAGGGGCCAGGCGAGATGGACCTGGGGCTTTTGCGCTTCCAGAGCTTTCCCTGGCCACTGTAGGCCGCCACTCAGGACTTGATGGTCTCCTTCAGTACAGCTCTCTTGGCCCTGTCACAGAATTACTCACCATGGCACCCTGTTACAACATCCGAACTCCCTCTCATCTCTCTGCCTCTTCCTCCTGCTCAGTACCTATCAGACACACTGCCCAGAGGACCCATTTCGATCATAGTATTGAGACCTAAGGAAATGTTTGATCTATCTTAAATTCTTTTACTAGTGTTGTAGCTTTAAAAAAAAAAATAAAGTAAGAATCCCAGGTTAGAGCTCTACTGGGCTCTGCCAGGATCCATTCGCTGCTGAGGAGGTGAATGTGGAAATGCTCTCGTTTCTCAGATTTCAACCACAAGAACAGCTTTAACAAGTAGAGCCATACCCCTTTCCATCTGATCTAGAAATGAAAGGCAAAGGGTCATGGTGAGGAGACAACAGAACATGATGGACTTCTCAGATTGCACTTCAGAGAAAAACAGAAAGGCACAGTCAGTACCAAAAGAGAACCAAATGGCTCCTTTGGCAGATGCTCTGGCCTTTCAGCCACTAGGTAAACAGCCAAACAGTGTTCTGGTGACCTGATCGCAAAGATTTACTTACTTGGGCAGTCTAACAGCAAGGCTCGGACGAATCTTAGTAATACCCTGCAGTTCAAATGGCATGTGTTAAAACTGACCCTGAGAATAAGCAGACTTCTGGCATAGCGACACGGCAAACAACCTCAGCGAATTTCAAACAGGCTCTGTCTCAGACCACATTTTACGACACAGCTAGGCCACAGCTACAAGCCACAGTCAAGCCAATCCCCAGGAACTCTGTGATCATTTCAGAGTATTCTAGAAACAAATCAGCAACAGGCATCAACAGAAACCAACCTATCTGGCTCCCAACAAGCCTTCACAAGCCTTTGTATTTAAGACTTGCCAAATTAAAATTCAGTTCAAATTTTAATTTCACATGAGTGTCCACATGACAGGGAGACTCCACACACACACACACACACACACACACACACACACACACACACACACACACACCAAGAGCAAGGGAATGTCCCATCACTGTCCCAAAGAAACAGGAATCACAGAATCCTAAGAAAGGAGCTCTGAGCAGTGTGGCTTCAGGGCAGGGCTGAAGATGCACGTGTTGCCCTCACTGAGCCTCTAGTCCAGGGGAGAGGGGACAAGTCATCAATGTGACTGAATGAAGAGGCTAGAGAAATGGCCAGCAGTGAGTTTAGTTTTTATATTAAAAAAAAAAAGCATGGGATAGCATAATATGGCCCACATTTTAGATGACCCTACCTGCTACTGTGGGGAAGAATGCTAGGGTAGAGGAAAGGAGCCATGGAGGTAAATGCCTTCCACTACAGAGGAGGAAGCGTGGGTGTGAGACACAGAAGGACCTGCCCGGCACATCCCCACAGAGATCGACTGCCCGGAGAGGACCATAGAGATCAGCTCCCCAGGGAGGACCAAGAGATCGACTCCTCCAGAGAGGACCACAGAGATCGACTCCCCAGGGAGGACCACAGAGATCGACTCCCCAGGGAGGACCACAGAGATCGACTCCTCAGGGAGGATCACAGAGATCGACTCCCCAGGGAGGACCACAGAGATCGAGTCCCCAGGGAGGACCACAGAGATCGAGTCCCCAGGGAGAATCACAGAGATCAACTCCTCCAGGGAGGACCACAGAGATCAACTCCTCCAGGGAGAATCACAGAGATCAACTCCTCCAGGGAGGACCACAGAGATCAACTCCTCCAGGGAGAATCACAGAGATCGACTCCTCCAGTGAGGACCACAGAGATCAACTCCTCCAGGGAGAATCACAGAGATCAACTTCCCCAGGGAGGACCACAGAGATCAGCTCCCCCAGTGAGGACCAAATCAAGTCAAGATGCTGAAGTGAGAGAAAGGGAAACCTAGTGAAGCCACAATGCAATCACCTGGAAAATCAGACAACAACTGTCCACATAACAAACATGAATTCGAATATGGTAGGCAATATAAACACTGTGTGCCTAAGTAGGAGCAGCCGATTAACTACACTACTTTAATGAAATGGACGGTGTTCAAGGAACGAAACTGTCACATGGGATGTTGTGACTTATACGCACTACTAGGCTGGACTGTCACAGGGTGGGCTCTGAACTCTTTCCTTAGACTTGCGCACTCGTCGTTAAGCTCAGAATTAACAAGACTGACGGTGTGGAGGCTGGCATACACATTTTTTTCAATAAGCAAAACGGCTTCTTTTTACTGATTTCTACATTATTCATATCAAGACAACTTTCTTGAGGATTTTTCTGAGCAATGCCTCGTCATTCCATCTGAAGAAAACGAGGCTCCAGGTGATGAATCAAGTATTCATAGCTCGCAGTCAGTGACTGATGCCGCCATCCTCAAACGCAAACAGTGCCTGCTTTGGCCTCTGCAGCGCCTCACGCTGTAGGACTAAGTGACTGAGGTCACGCGTCTGTGCTGTGCGTTTTACAGACACTGCTGAATGAGCTACACCGAGGAACGAAGACCAGATGATAAGTGTCTTGCACGTCATGCCGTATGGAGGATCCAGGAAACGTGTGCCACGTAATCTGAGGAGATGTTACTGGAGCAATACCACCCACCAGCTGTTCTGCAGGCGAGAAGCCAGGACCAGCATGGAGCCATGGGGGAGGTGGATTTCAGACCAGCACAGGAGTTTCTAACAATGGGTCCTGTTCAACAAAGACACTGACATTTTTGTCAGGCAGTGAACAACATACAGTCAGAGGACATCTTAGTTGGGCTGTAGATGGCCTGTTGTTCGTTCTGTAATGTTGTGATTGCTACCATGTCCAGTTTACCCTGCTCAACTGTCTGGCTCCAAGGGCAAAAAACAGGTGCAGAATTTCTTGAATACTTCATTATTCCTTTCCTTCTTTCCTTTCTTCCTTCCCTCTCTCTCCCTCCCTCTTTCTTTTGGATCTGAGGGTCAAATCCATGGCTTTATAAATGCTGGGAAAACACTCTTAACACAGAACTATAGTCTCAGTCTCGATATATCAAACATATACATACATATATACATACATACATACATACATATTGGTTTTTTTTTTTCAAGACAGTGTTCCTCTGTGTAGTTTTGAAGCTTGAGCTTGTCCTGGCACTCATTCTGTAGACCAGGTTGGCCTCGAAGTCACAGCAATATGCCTGCCTCTGCCTCCAAAGGCTGGGATTAAAGGTGTGTGCCACTATTGCCCAGCCAACTATATATTTTTATTTTTAAATTATAAATTTTTATTTTTAAATGTGGTGCGCAGGTGCATGGATGCTTGAGGAAGCCAGAGGCATCAGATCCTCTTCGAGTTGAAGTTCCCAAACTCAAGTCCTTTAGGAGAGTAATATGTGTTCTTAGCCACTGAGTCATCTCTCAGCCCTGTATCTCTTCTATAAAATACGAATGTTGTACAATCTTTTTCATGTCGTTTCTAGCCTACCACTGTCGTGTTAACTTAACAGCCAGCCTCTGCTCTCTGTGTCAGTGTCCTGGGGACTTAGCACAGATCAGCATATTCATTCCGAAAGAAGTATGAAGTATTCTTTCTTCCGTCTCCCAGATAAGAAAGCTGAGAAACAAAATCAGTAGCCTGTCTACACGTGAACAGCAGCCTGGGCACTCCAGCTGCAGGCCAGTGCTTGCATCACTTTGTTCACAGGGCATGCTGCTGCACATGGGGGCTGCTTCCAGCCCGCAGCAGAAGCAAACACAGGAAATGTTAGACAAGTCCTCCAAACTGCAGCCCACCCAGCCCTACTGTTCCACAAAGTAAGGCAGGCAGATAAATGCAAAATAGCACTTACTGTGCCCTGCACTGTGCTATCAGGACACTAAGATCATAACAATAAATCCACAGCAAGCTGTAGGCTTACCAATATTCATGTTCTTTACATGATATTCATGAGCATGTTTTGGTGTAGGAGGGTCTTCTATCTATGTGTTACTTTCATTGGTTAAATAAATAGACCGCCTTGGTCTTTTGATAGGGCAGAAAATTAGGTGGGCAAAGTAAACAGAACAGAATTCTGGAAGGAAGAAAGTAGAGTCAGAGAGAGCCACCATGGAGCCAGCCACCCGGTCAGACATGCTGAATCTTTCTTGGTAAGCCACAACATCGTGGTGAAATACAAATGAATAGAAATGGGTTAATCAAGATGTGAGAGTTAGCCAATAAGAGGCTAGAAATAATGGGCCAGGCAGTAATTTAATTAATACAGATCTCCGTGTGATTATTCCGGGCATAAGCTAGCCAGGTGGCCAGGACGACAAGCAGCCCGCCAGCCCGGGTATAAGCCAGCCTGGCAGCGGGAAGCAGCCTGCTCCTCATACTACAATGTTTAGTGTGCCAGACTCGATTCTAGGCACAAAGAATACAGGACACAAACATAGTCGGTATTTAGGGTTAGAACATTCACAGAAGATGGGCAAGGGTTGTGTTCACAAGTTCCAAGAACAGGGGCAGACAGAAGCATGGCATGCAGTGGGCTGAGGACACAGTCACAGAGGTACTAACAGCAGTCAGGCCTTCTGGGGTTTGTATGCGCTGGGAGAAGGACACTGACTGCTAATCTAAGGGGGGAAGTCAGTGGAAGGTTTTGAGCAGAGAACATAATATGAGCTGTGTCCCGGACTGCTGAGGACCAACAAACCAGGAGCAATAGCTTCCCTGGTTCTGGCTTACACTTTCTGTAGTGTACAGAACGGGTAGCCTGAGTAGGGGTCTCTGACAAAGGAGAAAAAAAATAAGTATGGTTACTAAGATTCCACATGCAATTTCCCTATTTATAAAATACCACATTTAAACAAGAGCTCACAAACCTTGGCAACTTGATGGCCTTGACACTGAGAAAAATTTAGCTCAATAAGAATGCACACATTCTAAAATCAAGAGGATGAAGAACGGCCGCTGAGCAAGGCTGAAGTACAGAAATGAACTCACCCTGAGGAAAACCCACTGATGAGATATACCCTTCCCATATTGTAAGAGCTCGTCTCTCATAGACTAAGATGATAACAAATGGGTAAAGAAAACCACTGTGGATTTTAAAAATGATAGCACCAATTCCTACATATGTGCAATTCAGTCACAGATATAGAGATAAAAATGTTGCAAGATTACAAAAATGAAACCCCACAGCACTACATATTAGCTGCTGTGAGACTGAAAAATGGATGGATGGCTTAATGTCTGAAAGCCAGAATAAGACAGTTATATAATAAGAACTTATCACTGACCAAAATGTAGCCAGTACACATAAGAATAAGTTTGGTCTCCAAAGTTGCAAAGTATTTATACAACACACCTTCAAGAGACCAGCCACGCTGAGTGCAGACACCAGTGGAGACCTGCAATTCCCATTCTGCCAATTACAGTGCAAACTGCTAACACCTGCTTGCAAAACTATCGGACATGACCTCCCAACGTCTAACCTACAATCTCCTATGAGCCCACCCTCCACCCCCAGTGTGCACTCATTAAAAACGGACACCCATACACAAAGAAGACAAAGAAAATCTACCCAAACTGGCACTATTCAACAATTCCAGACTAGATAGCACAAAAATCTACTTATAAGGAAACAGATTTAACTGTACACAATGGCATGTAACTATGAGAATAACTTCTGGTGTCTGCAAAAGCATGGGGGGATCCCACAAACATACATTAATCAGAGGAAGAAAAGAATAAGTAAGGGAGAGAGGGAGGGAGGGAGGGAGGGAGGGAGGGAGGGAGGGAGAGAGGGAGGGGGAAGAGAGAAAGAGAGGAAGGAAGGAAGGAAGAGAGAGAGAGAGAGGAAGGAAGGAAGAGAGAGAGAGGGAGAGAGAGAGGAAGGAAGGAAGAGAGAGAGAGGAAGGAAGGAAGAGAGAGAGAGGAAGGAAGGAAGGAGGCTAAAAACAAAAATCCCATTCAAAAGAACAGGTGGCTGCAAACAAGGAGCTACTAAATGGGCATCCTAAGGCAGAATGGTCAGAGACTGAGAGAGAAGGACCATGACCTCTGACTTCCGAGGGGCCAGTGTTCCTTCCTGACCTGGGATGGACACACTCATGGCGAGGAAGCTACAAGGGTCACTACAGAAACTGCTCCTTTTTGGCTTATGATAGACAATTATTAAATTTTCAAGAACTTTATAAGTCAGTTGTGAAACACATTTAATACTAAAAATCAAACCTCTGCGTGCTGAAAATACATATTTACATAAAGTAATATTCCACACAAGCCTGTCTCAAAAGATAAGGTGAAGAATGACAGAGACACCTGCTGTCAACTTCTAACCTTCATACATGCATGCACTGGTGCAAACGTGCATAGGCACACACATGTGTATATATGTGCATACATCATACACATACATGCACGCATACACATGTCATTTCTGTTGTTTTACATTATAAAAACACAAAAAGTGAATATTCTTTCAATCTTTGAAAATTATCCTTTGTCAATGTCACACAAGTTGTGGGCAAATTAGTAAAATTCCACAATGTTTTATTTTTCAGTCTTACTACTGTCTTACTAATGAAAACAATTATCAACCACCATTCACATCTACAGTGCATTCCTCCATCGGTGCAATCACAGGCCAAACAGAAGAGAGTGGGCCCGAATTGGCAGAAGCGTTCTATGAAGTCTATAAGGAGCATTGGAGAATTGTTATTTCTAAATTATGAGCATGCCTTATGTTGATATTCAAATCTGCACATGTGCATGGATTACATGTGAACATATATTTTTCCGGAAAAGGGATTCTTAAACACACATCAGTGTCCCATATGAGATTATCATTCGTAATACAACTCCATTATGATTTATGCACTCTCTGAAGTCCCTGCTCCTCTGTGCAGTCATCAGTCACAGGCCAGCAGAATACCCCAGTCCTCCTTCCCACACCTCTGCATTCCTGCGTCTGGGCTAACCATGAGGACAGCATTCGCCACAGTCGTTTGCTATGCAGAATGAGACAAAGCACTCAGGCTGGAGAACTGAGCAGTGAGTTCAGGAGTAGAACCTGCCCTCTATTTAGAATCACATGTAGCCAGAATAAAGGGGTCATGCAGAAACTGCCCATTAACCACAAATTAGTTAAGCCAACACAGCTAGCCTAACACATTTGAGAATCGTTGTTTTCTGACTTAAACTTATTTTTATTATAATATAAAACCATTCCTTCTACTCCCTCATATTTACTTTCAGTATATCCTCTCTAATTTTTTTAAAAGCATTTATTATTTCTACATAAACCTCTACTTCTCGAGTATGGTTAGTTAGCTCTTGGAGACCAGTGTCCCATCCTTTCAAACAAAATTATGTTTCTCAGCACACTTCTATACTGACTCTATGCTTAAATGGCAAAACAGTAAATTCCATTTTCCATGGGCTATAGTCTGAACACATGGGTTCCTCCCAACGTCACATCAAAAGCCAGGCCAGGGTATACTGCCATTAAGAGGTGGGGTCTTGTAGATGCCTTCACCAGACACTGCCTGAGGTTCCACTGTCGAGAAAATGACCTGGTGTTTGGGGCGGCATCCCAAACAGACTGACACCTGGTACATTCAAATAATGCCAACAGCATGGCTTAGCTGTTCCTGCCATTCCTGTTAGCAATGAGAAATAGCCAGATGTCAGGGGTCCTTTTTTTTAAGACAAAGTCTCACTATGAAGCCCGATGGCACCAAATTCGTGACTATCCTGTCTCAGCCTCCTGAGTGTTAGCATTATAACAAGTACACTTTATTAGTTTATATTTATGACTAACACAAAGCACATACCTAGTAAAAGTATACTAAATAAAGTAAGGTACACACTGCCATCCAAACCCATGACCTTCAGGATTAAAAAGAAACACAGACTCAACAACAAATTATTATGCAAAATCATTGGTGCTTGCTTAAAACCAGCATTTTAAACTCAGACCTAGTCTGAAGCCTATCAGAAGCTTTAATAGAGATGGGGGGGATGCAGTCTCTCACAAATTTCACCAGAATTTTTTATAAAGTGTTTTCTTATGACAGAAAAATTAATTTAAAAAAATTTAAAAATAAGGAAGACTTTGACACTGTTCACATCATGATTTAAAGCTCGGGTGCACAGTCCAGAGCCTCGGCAGCCCAGTCCCACACGCCTTCAGACTGAGCAGGAGGTGGGGCTATACTCAGACAGGATAGAAGAAACCAGCACAGGCTGCAACCGCATGAGAGGCAACAACAAAGGTCCCGGCACTCAGGGAGAGCACTGTTTCTCCTGCTGCTATGTGCTGTCCATCCCTCAATCTACACACAAAGCTAAAAGGCAAATGTACTAGGAACCCTTGCCAAGCCTTTATTACAAATTCCTTTAGCTGCTGAGCCATTTCATGGGCCCCAAATAAATTCCTCTTATTCTCATTTTTTATATCATTTACTACACCTGGCTTTTAGAATATAAAAAACCCTAAGGAACCCTGCAAACTCAACACCAATTACGACATCCGCCAAAGCCTCGACTGAGCGCACGAATCGCAGCCTTGCCTTGTCATCTCTCCCTCGGGCTCTACAATCCTTGTCCCTACTTGCAGGCTTGTCGCTCTTGGATATCGGGTGTGCTCGGCCCACGAGTCCTCGGGCTCCGGCTCCCATGTCTTTCCTCAGAGGCCTCACTTCTCGGTTGGGACGTCTGATCTGAGGTGGAGCTCTGACAACAGAAAGACAGGAAAACAAGAACTAATCAAAGACAAGTAGTTCAATACCATCTTACTCAAGAAGTTGTCACCGTTTTCCCTAATGTGTAATGGCTGGTACAATTATTCAATACAGGAGGCACATGCGGAGCCATTACTCTGCCGAAAGTAACCATTAACCACCAACAGCGGGCAACACAGCCTGCGTCCACCTGTTAACACCACTGAAAAGGCCTCTTTGTCCCCCATCAACTCAGGGAAATGTGGAGCCCTATGAGCACCCCCTTTCATGACGAGGTGCCACAGGGTCAACTTTGTGAAGATCTTGTGCACAGACACAGATGCTATGAGTTCAGGGGCACACGCCACACCTGGAAGTGAGCATCCCACAGGGCTCCCGTCCTCCCTTCAGCTCTCGCATTCTTCCTACCTTCCGACCTTTCGTCTGCAATGTACCCTGCAAGCTTGGGGTTTGAATTCACCTGCTCACCAGAGTTTCCTTCCTGGTACCACAGAGGTTAGCACAATAATAGCGAATTTGGCAAGACAGGAAAATGGCTGAAGATCCACACACTCGGGGAAACAGTGGAGTCCTGTGATGTTGTGGTTCCACTATAGTGCTGTGGTTTGATGTAAAATGACACCCACGGGTTGCCGTCTCACTCAGTCTCTGGTTGGCGGTTCAGCTTCGGAAGGTTGTGGACCTTTAAGAAGTGAGGTCTGGCTGGAGCAGTGGTTTGATGGGGTAGAGCCCAGCCCTGTGCCATCTCTACTTCTTGTTCAGCCAAATGAGCAGCCGCCTCGTACTTCTGCCTACCTCTCCCCCTCCCACTGCCACGTTTTACTTTCATGATGGAGTGACATCACTGAGTCAAAATCAGGCCTTCCTCATCAGGATTCTGTCACAGCCGCGAGAAGAGCGGCCACTGCATACAGCATATTCACATTGTGGGACCTGCTAGGACGAGGAACGGCTGCTAGAGCCGCACAGCTGTCTGTCAGCTTCTCAGACGCACATCTTCATCCTCAGAGTGTGGTTCAGCTCAGCAGTCACTGAGCAGCCATTTTTTAGCATACAGCTAATGACAACACCGGCCCCAGGAGAAGACAGAGAGAAGCAAACAATAGTGGGACAGGGGTCCACGGGAAAGGAACTGGGGAAGAGAGATCACTGCAAAATGGCCAGCAGACACTTTGGAAACTGGTTTTATTACATTATTGGGACTAGGGCGTTCTTAGTCATTTAAATGTTCATGAAATAAAAACATGAAGAGACAGTGAAGAATAGAACTAACACGGTCAATTGCTGTCTAGAGCACACAGGTCTGGGGCCGCAGCTCAGTAGTAGACGGCTTTCCCAGCACGCACCAAGACCTGGGTCCACCATCTAGCACAGAAGGTAAAAGCTCAAACATTTGTCTCCCAGTGCAGTGCTTCTGCCGTTGTTGGGACAGGCAGGTCTGTTTTACTTAGGTTTCTGTTTTGAGGACAGACAGTGGTCGAGCACAGTTCTGCTTTATGGATTTATGTGTTTGTGAGTGCAGAAATGTCTTTCCTGCAGCAGCCAAGGGCACAGGCGGAGAAAATGAGTTGAGACTACCTCTCTGCTCAGCACACGTCGGGTTTCTCCTGTTGCTAGCAGCTGTGCTTGCTGTTTAGATGACTGTCGTCGTGGTCCAGCTTTTCAGACTCTACTCCGGCATGAGGCCTCTGCTCACCATCTCCAAGGCTAGCCCTTACAGCTGTGCACAGGCCCTCAGCAATCGCCAGACTCGCCCATGAGGCCTGCCCATGAACCCTGAGACAGTCCTCACCCTCAACTTGCTACTCAGCAGCGGCTCTCGCCCTACCGCAGTCCACTCCATGCACACATCTGGCTTGGTGGCTATGTCACGGGATTCCTTCTAAGCTGGCTCGCAGGCTGCCTTCCGGGGCTGCCCCCAGCTTGTCCTGCAGTGCACTATTCAGATGGGCTCCTAGAGGAACTGAATGAAGTGCTCAAGCTGGAGGTGGCCTTTGGGAAGGAGGCCTGTGCTCTCTGTCTTCAGTTCCACCTCACTGCAGCTGGATAGGACATGTGTAACAGACTCTGTCGGTGTCCCCTAGGACAGCTTGATTCTGCTCCGTGTGTCTTTGTCCGTTGCCACATCACTGCACAATGTCATGCTTCACTGTGGGGGCTGTGACAGCTTCCAGACTATGTGAGCAGCAAGCTCACAAGACTTCAGTGGGGCGTGCAGCGCTGCCCTGACGGTCAAACAGAGACTTACACTGTACTCGCATACAGCTTTACAAATGCAGAGAGAGAGAGCAGCTAGCTAGTCATCAGAGCACAGTGAATAAATACCAGCCGGCTATTCTGCCCTGGACTACCATTTAAGAGCGCCAGGAAGAGACAGATGTTCTAAAATAAAATCTGGCAGCTTACCACTAAAGGGACCTTCACTGTGAGACCCACTAATACACATCAGCCAGGATGAAAGCGAAGCAGAAAGATGTACAGGGAACAGAGAGGTGTAAGCAGGGGTCTGTTCATTCCTTCAAAAAAACGCTTCTGGAACACCTACACTGCACACGTTCTTCTTGGTGCTGGGGGGTGCGGCACTGATCAAGTCCAAGGCCCCAGTTCTTCAGATCACATGACCTGGGGCCATGAACAATATGCACGCCTGCAGTCTGGTAGCAGTAAGTACAAGTGGATAAAGTCCAAGGTTGGCCTCTCAGAGTCACATGATAAAGACAGGTAAGGGTCGGTCGGAGTCAGGTGGAAGCTGCAAACCTGGCCGCACGCCCCGCCGGGCCAGGCTGCTCTTCATACTCCCCATACAACTACTCGGCTTCATTCTCACAAGCACCGCAAGAGGCAACTGCCACACTGATCTCAATTACAGGGGAGGAAAATGAGGAGGAAGCTGCTAGCTTCCCTGGGGCCACTGGGTGGCAGAGCTGAGAGGAAACACCCTCTCCCCCAGAGCTGGCAACCGGTCTCTGAAAAGGCAGCAGCCTTCCTGGAGCAGAAGATGCTGCAGGGCAAGGACCCAGTCTTGCTTGTCAGCTTCCAGAGGGTACCAGTGAGGTCAAGCGAACTAGATCGGGGGCACAGGAACTGGGGACTAGAGACAAACTAGGGAGAAGGGCGGGGCCATGTAAAAGTCACAGGTGCTAGGAGAGGGGAAGAGTCCCAACAGAAATGGCAAGCAGTATCACAAAAGGGGAGGAGTGAGTCTAGAGGGAGCGGATGGCATTATCACACGGGTGGGCTGCTCACGGCAGTAGAGAGTTCAGCCCCAGCGCTGCACTGACTGGGATGTGGGATTCCTAGTAACTGAGGAGAAGGGGAGATGGTTACACTCTACAGCAGACAGCAGTTTGCCAGGAAAAGGACAGCAAGACAAAGATTTTTCAGCCCAAGTGTAAATGTGTTATGGTTTCCTTCTGACACTGCCATCTTGTCTTCACGCCTTCATTGGTCTCTAAGAAAGTGCAGTGTCCGCTTTCAGCTGCCTTTTCTAAAACATAGAAATACCAAGTTTAGGGGGCTGGAGAGATGGCTCAGCGAGTGGTTAAGAGAAGAGCTGCTCTTGCAGAGGACTTGGGTTCAGTTCCCAGCACACAAGGCAGCCTGCAACCATCTGTAACTCCAGTTTCAGGAGATCTGATGCCCTCTTCTGGCCACCACAGGCAAGAGGCACACATGTGGTACACAGACATACAAGTAGGCAAAGCATTCACACACATAAAATAAATTGCAGTGATATTTCATTTGCATTTTAATAAATAAGTTCAGAGAATAAAGCAGTAGCACTGATCAGCCTTACAGACCAGGCAGTGGTGACACACACCTTTAATCCCACTAGCCACACTAGTTTGCCATAGAAACTGGGTGGTAGTGGTGCACATCTTTAATTCCAGTACTAGAGAGGAATATAAAACGGGAGGAGACAGCTCTCACACACAGACTCATTCTGAGATTCCTGGAGGTAGGATCACCATTTCAGACTGAGGTAGAGGTAAGAGTCAGTGGCTAGCTGTTTTACTTTTCTGACCTTCAGGTTAAAGCCCCATATCTATCTCTACAATAAATCTTAATAAAATATTTTAGGCAGTCACTGTAGTAAATACCTAGAATTCCAAAATTCAAAATTCAGGTGACCACTGTATTTTGTAGCAAGAGACAGATGTTTCCTATAGAGTGCTATTATATATAGTGTTATATATATATTGTTCACTATTATTACTAATATTGAACACTATATTACATATAGTGTTCACCTTGGCTGACACTCTCGGGTAACTGCCATTCTTCTCCCACGGTCTGTTCTTCCCTCTAGCTCCTAGTCAACAGCCTGGCCTGGACTCTCAATTATCGAGTCCATTTGCTCTCATTCTCCCCGTCACCTCAGTCACCAACTTTAGTCCATTTTACCCAGCATGCTCTACACCCACCTACAAGACCAAATGCTTCCAGGGCAGGAGCCATACCCGGGTGCTCGTGCATTCCATCCGGTGTGCACAGGGCCTGGTGCAGCCCGGCTGCAGATGCCAGCCTCCCTGAGGCCAGGCTCTGAGAGTTAGCTATACTGTCTGAAGGCCAAAGATAAATGCCTGGCATACAAGGGACGTTTACAAAGCCTTCTTCTTCCCGAGGTTTGATGCAGGGCTGCAGAGCGTGCTCACTGTGATGCACCCCTCACACTGGGCGAGCATGGAGGATGACCGGATCAGTGCTACAGCAAACAGCACCTTCCACCCCATGCCAGGAAAACAACTGAGTCAGAGCAGAGGCGAAGGACTTGCCAACAGGAAACAGCAGTTTCCTCTCAGTTCTTGACTGTGGCCTTAGCGGAGCCTTTCCATTATTAACTGGGCTTTTTCTTTTCTTTTGTTTTGAATGCTGACAGTTACTTAAGCTAGCAGGGAACCCAGGGGAACGTGCTAACAGCCTTGGCATTAAATCTGTAAGAACTTGGGCAGGGACTTAAAGAAAACTAGTCTCCTAAGTGTACATGGAGAC